GTGGGGACAGGGGATGGGAGGGGTAAGGGTTGGGGGTAAGGAATAAAATGAGGAAGGTTAGGAAGGGTTTGGAAATATGTTTCTCCTTTTGGTAGGGAAGTCATTTTTTGGTATTTGGAGGAAATGAGTTCATGAGAAAAATATTTTTCAAAATGTTCAAGCTAACCAAAAATAGGAAAATTGAAAAATATATCTCGGAAAATATTTTTATTCGTACCAAACATATAGCTCGCACCGGATTGAAAGCATTTCATCTCTACCTTTGCAAATCACCCAGAGTACTTCTAAAAGCTAGCGCTCAGTCAAGATGGTTGTTGATAGGACTTATTTTCTGTTTCTTGATTAAAGAAATAGCTCCATTTAGCCTCAACAAAAAAAAGTGAAGTGCTTGAAATGTCTGACTTCCATATTCTGGTTACAAATCGGGCGAAATTTTAAAGCTTGATTTGAAGAATTACAATTTTAATGCAAAACATAGATATTCCATTTAGGGAGATGAAAATAATGACATGTCAAGCCATGAGCATAAAAGCCAAGGAAATAGAAATGGCACACTTATTTGCACAAAACACAGCCAGACGCCCAGTGTAACAATCAAAACTGTACAGTAGAAATCCCAACTCCAAGCCTCGAGCTATCAATGATAGGGTAGAATGAATTAGTCTTCGACTACAGGACAAACCACAAGTACAACAAGCAATATATTAAAAAGTTAAGAAAGACTTGGATCTGGAGGAACAAAATGATGCAGCAAGTTTCATAGCTCTAGGTCAAATTTGAAAGCAAAGCACAACTCAAGACACTCCCTCCCCCNGTCTGCTGCAGTCTGCAGTTGGTTTAAGTGAGTGCCCTGTTGAAGATCTCTCGGAGGTGGGCCTGGCAAACTCATAGTTGGCTGTTGTTGCTGCTGCTGCTGAAGCAATTGCTGCATTTGACCAAATTGTGATGATGAAAGATCAACAGCCTGATTGTTTAAGGGTGGAAAATTCTGATGTGGTCTGTATGAGTTGTCAGGCATATAAGCAGTGCCTGATTGTCTAGGATCTTGCCCTGTTGATGTAACCCCTGATTGCCTCTGCTGCCCAAGAAGTGATGAGGCTAACAATGCAAGTTGTTCTGATTGAAGAGGTGCTGATGTTGGTGTCTTTGCCTCCAGAGGAGGTCTGTTATTCCCATTTGAATGGATACTTGAAACTTCACCCCTGTAGAAGCTTGAACTTTCGTGTCCTGTACTAGGCATGACAGGATTATATCCCTGAACCATTGCAGGATCATTTCTGCCACCGGATGATTGTGAGGTGATATTCTTAGCACCAGGATTCATGTTCTGCATATCATGGGAAGACCAGTTCTGTCCCATGGCAGGGTACTGCTGATTGACCATGTAATTATTCCTGTCTCCACTAAGTGGCTCCGAAAAGTTACCACCTGGGTGAAGAGAGCCTGGAAATGAAGCAGCTGGAGGTCCTGTATCTATGCCAGGAAAAGACATATTACTACTGATTCCTGGCCTCTGAGTAGTTGGGTAAGATGTAAGTGCGGAATTAGGCCCAGAAGGCGATATCGGCTTGGCAAACGATGTCATGCCCTGGAAACCGGTAATACTGCTTTCATTCTTTTCAGGCTGTTGGTGAAGAGACGCATAACTGGAACCAGTAGGTTCCAATCTCAAAACAACACCAGAGATGCTCAGTTTTCCTGGTACTTTAAGGACTTTTTCAGAGAAGTCTGAAGGAGGAACAAGAAACATAGTGGTCCTATCATCCAATTTCGCCACAGCAGCTCGCTGCTTCTCACCAAGATAATTCATGAATTCATTGTAAAATGCCATGTCAGGATCACTAGCTGGAACGAAGAAGACAACCCAAGAACCAGCTGCTTGATAGTAATGCTTCGCAAGCATGTCTAAACTAGTCCTTGCTGTGCAGTCTAAGAATACAGGTCTGCAGAATTGTGAACCATTGCAAACTCAATGGAAGAAAAAGAATTTTAAGTTCTATACATAACACGTGGGTGTAAAGTTCTCAATCTAACAAGATAAGCTCATTTTTTCTTAAGTGTGGTAGTTTGATCCCAAAAACCCTGTGAACAAATGTATGAGAAGACAGAAATTCGTAATTCTAAGATGAACGAGAAAGTTAAAACAAGTCTTGTGACTACTTAAGTACCATTCTAGATTCTTCCCATGTACTTGATAACATGAACAAAGATTTCCTACTCCATACAAGAGAAATGATGATTGCCTCAAAGGGCAAGAAGGCGCAAAATTCAATCTCTGAAATCTCCTTAAATTAGGTAGAACAGACTATTAACACTATCCATTTTTTATCTCTGACTTCTAAGATAAGAGATACCCTAATCGAAAATTTTCACTTCTACGTAACTAGGTTGTAAAACACCGAATTCTCCAAAGAGTACACTATCAGAGTTCTATTACAATTCATTCTCGACCATATAAACGGAAAATGATTATATTTGACTTGAGCAAGCCTAAGTATTGCTCTTACATCATCAATCGCCCGAACACTGTACAAGTCTTGTAGAAAGTTGCTCTAAAGTGATACTTACCTGAATGTTGAGCTTACCAATCCAGCATTTAAAAGTTAATTCAAAAGCACATATAGGAAACTACAATTGTTATACAACACGAGCTCCATGGACTAAGTATGATTTTATCAGTTACAGCAGAGTATATTTGCACTTGTGATATTTCTGTGAGGAAGGGCTTCAAGTAAAATGTCTAGAGGGTAGGAGCCCTGTAGTTCGAAAAAGATTTCCAACTGGAAGTCGTCTATCAGTTTTTATTTCAATAACTTGTGAGCTTTAGGGTCAGAAATTATGTCTATGGAAACATTTACCCCTGAAGCAAGTTATTACTTACAAGTTCATGTCTAGATGTTTGCCCACAGGAAAGCATCGAGCGCGACAGACAGCAGTTCCTCCCTTGGCTATTGTACCTTCCCATTTCCACTCAGTATTCATGGATGAGGGATGTGGTTCAGGAGTCAATCTTTTCTGCTCAGCATTTAAAGCCAATTGACCAGACCCCACCTTAAAACCATCAAAACGTGAATTCCATCGTTCATTCTCCTCCGGATAAGGTAGATTCGAGTTCATCATCCGCTCAGGGATCTGTCTATGAACATGAGATCCAGAATCAAAGTTTTTATCAAGAACCTCGGATTGGGAAAATTCATGGTACCCCCTGTGTTTTGCTGGTTCCATATCAGTGAAAGGATATTCTGGAAGCTCACTTTCTGGAGGATAGGAGCTGGTCTTCAGTTTCTTAGCTTCATGAAAGACTAAAGGATCTTCAGGCAAGTCCCATGAATCATCATACAATGGATCTTGTCTAGGGAACCGCTGAGGAGAAAACTCACGTATGTCTAAAACTCTTTTCCTTGGAGGACTACGCTGATTGTAAGCATTGTCCCCATGCCCCAGTTCAGAATCCAGAGCTGGAAATCTCCTCCTGTCAAGTGCACCATCTTCACCTGCCCATGAATTACCCCTTCTGCCAAAACCAACACGACGAGAATCACCAGGATCCATATCTGAGTTAAACCTTGGAGACCTCATGCCATGATCTCCAGAAGCATTACCAAAGTCCCTACCATGGCGAAGGTTCTCAGAAGAACCAATGTGCCCATATGATCTCAAATGTGCGGATGGTGAATCATTCATTGAGCTCCTCTCCTTGTTAGAGGTTCCAGATTCCGACCTCGCAAAACAAATATGTACACGAGGATTGCCAAATAATTTTCCTTGTAACGTTTCTTTTGCCCTGCAAGCTGCCATCACATTCTTGTATCGAACAAAGGCATAAGTTCTACCGGGAAATGCAGTAATCTTATCTATTTGTCCAAATGGGGAAAAGGCTTTTCGCAAAATAAATTCGTCTACTTTCAATTGTGCAGGAAACCCAATCCATAAGACCTCACTGGGTTCTCCACTCTTATCATTTAACCTTGATTTGTCCGGATGTGGTGATAAGTCAGGAGTAGAGTGGCGAGGCCTCAAGTCCCTTTGCGGAAGTGGAGATCTTCTTATCATGGGACGTTCATCTCGACGTGGAAAATACTCTTCATCCCGTGCTGGAGGTGATGATTTTTCCTGTGATATAAAACCCTATTTAGAGCAGAATTATCGCCATTTTTTCTAGATATATTTTTAAATTAAAAAACAAACAATAAAAGAGAGGTGGATCTGCTAGCATATAGATTAACTTCTTCAACAGAAAGTAATAATTATACATGGTGAGTTGCGGTATCATTGTTGAGAAGTACAACACCAAGAGACCCATTAGTAGAAGAACATGCTGCATTATGGATCAATCAAAACCCTCAAAATTTAAAACTGGTCTCAGTTCTTGTGAAGGGCTTTCTTTCCATACTCTAGTTACTAGTATACACTCTCCAATATAGTAATACTGCATTATCTTCACGAGGGTACTGTGATAATTGCAGCAAGAATCTGGAAGTAAGATGATGAAGCGTAAAACATACATGCATATAAGAGATGACAAATGCAATCATCTAGATGGACATCAGTTTAACTACTATTTAAACAAGTTGGGAGTAGCTTAACTTCCAGGCTCATATAGCCTACAAACACAGAAACCAAGTCTATAGGGGACGTGGCTACAGCATCATGACTTTAGACCGTCTCTTTTAAGTGCAAAGAGGAAACACGAAGTCCAGACAGAAGTATAAATGTCAATAGATCTGTGTCTTAACAAAAGCAACATTCTTCTGGTAGAACAAATGCAAGATTTCACTGATGCAGTGACCCGTGGATGTGAAGAAGCTTTGAGGGATTTCCACTGAATTTCTATAACCAATTCTTACAGAAGATATGATAGGAATACACCTAATATTTTACTTGCGAGGTTCACTCACATGCAGCTTTCAGTTACCTTTCTGAGACTTAGAGCCCGTTTGGCCAAGCTGTCAAAAACTGCTTATTTTGAAAATTGCTTTTGTTCAAAAGTACTTTTGCAAAATAGCAATTTGTGTTTGGCCAATTCGTTTGAGTAGTGCTTTTTGCAAGCTCATTGTGTTTGGCCAATCTTTTAAAAAAGCATTTTTAAGTATCAAATTACGAAAAAAGACAATAAAGGTTCAATTTGCGATTAGTATTATTTAGAAAAGAAAAATAAATTTAAACATTTATTATAAAGGAATTCAATTAAAATATGAAACGTAAAGTAAGAATATAAATTAAAAATTTCAATCAATATAAAATATAGTTATTCCAAATCAATAACATTGAGTGTTCGGTATTACTTATTGTTTACATGATAATTTAAATATGTCAAAATACATCATTCAATATAAATTTAAAATTTACTCTTAGGAATAGGAGAAAGAGAATATAAATATGATTAAAATAAAAAAGAGAAGAAATGTATAGTAGTAATAAAAAGAAAAAGGAAAAGGAAAAGAAAATGTTAAATTAATGAGGGATAATTTGAAAAATATAAATTTATTGTAAGGTTATTTTTATCTTGAACAAATTATTTTTCTGCTTCTGCGTCTGCTTCTTGGAAGAAGTTTAAAATTTGTAGCTTCTCTCAAAAAGCAGAAAAACTGCTTCTGCTGCTGCTCAAAAGTACTTTTTCATTTTGGCCAAACACCTTAAATTTTCCAAAAAGTACAAAAGTACTTTTGGCCTCCCAAAAGCTTGGCCAAATAGGCTCTTAACTGATCAGATCCATAGGAAAAAAGCCAGGCATAAAGCACAAGTTATCACTAACACAAAAGCCAAAAACGTGTCCAGGCATTTTGAAGAAGACAACCCAACAACATATATCTTCTGTTCTAGCCCCTAGATTATCTATGAAAGGAAGCTCTAGAGATGTGTTAAGTTACAGGACAGCAACACAATCTCCTAACTTGAAAAGAATATATTTCGAATACCTCAACTTAAGACACCTATTTGCTCTTCTCTGGAGAATATCAATGGTGCACTTGGATAAACACCGTGGATGTAACCAATCACTAAGCTAAGCATCAATTTGACAACCTTCATCCTGCCATGAACTGGGAAAACCAGTTGGAGAAGCAGAGTGGGAATAAATAACTAAGAGAAGCTTCTCTTCTCCTTTGCGGAGTGAAGCAATAGTGGTGATGTCAAGAAGCACAAAGTGAAAAAAGGCGCCAAGTTCCGCAAGAGCTCTAAGTTAAAAACACTATTAATACTCTTTACTGAAGAAAGCCATATGACAAGAATTGCACGTGCGTACGCAGAGTCGCAGACACACATACATATGCATGCACTCATATATATATGTACATACACACACATGCATACAATACTGCAAGTAAATAACCCGAACAACAATTATATGGATGAATTAATTAAAAAAACTACAGTGAGTCAAATATAAATGAAGCAAAATGATGACAATCAAATCAAAACCATCTTATATTACTTACTAGGATACAGAAATGCAGTTCTAAAAAGTGTCCATTGAATGGGCAGGAGATATAGGAGATATGTTTTAGAAAAAGCTCTTTTCACTGGGAAGTGGAAAAGATGGCAGCACTATTAGGACCTCAACCAAGTACACTTAGACAACACTGAGCAGAAGTGGAAAAGTTACACCGAAGAAGACGAGGATCATGGTCATTTGCATATTAGTGGCAAACAAAAATCCTTCAAAATGAGGGAACAATCTGCACATCTTGTAAGTCAAACTTGTACAGTTCTTCGAATTGGAATTTCCGAAGAGAAAACGAAAAGAATAAAAATGATTCCATTTCACAAACCTCCCTATAAGCAATCCGGAAACAACAATTCATGCAAAACAAGATCTCACCTAAATTGCCTAATTTCTAACCTGCAAACAAAACAAGAAAATTGGGATCCTAATAATCAATAATTGGCATGAAGCATGCACATAAAATAGCACAATTAAACATGGGCATGACTCCAGAAATCACTTAATATGCAAAACCTACCTGAAAAAGGATAACAGTTTGGACAGCTTAGAAACTCAAATAGCATACGAGCCTTATTCTAACTAGTCAGGTTCAACCATTTAAAGAAAGTATAGGTCTGAGACCGATCATGTTTGTTGACAGATAGACGCATATCCCTCATATACTAGTCAGTGACACATCTAACTCATGTACTAGTCATCCAGGGTCACCTGAAAACAGACGACGACTCGAGCTCGAGGAAATAGCAAGAGTGGAAGAAATTTCATGTAGATGTTTGTGACTTCAGCAAGGGGATAAAAATACAAGGCTCTTTCATAGAATGGCTAATGCCCATAAAAGATATATTTCTATTGGTAGAATAGAAATAAGGGGAACTATTAGAAGATGCAAAAGTGATAAAGGAGCACATACTGGAATTTGTTCCAATTTGTTCAAGGAAGCAGAGCACTGGAAACCAGATAGGAATAATGACAGTTTGGCTTGGATACCATGATAAAAAATGGATTTTGGGTCTAACTCGACCCCAAAATATAGCTCATGAGGTAAGAATTGCTCAAGACCGTCCCCCATCCACCACCGATGTGGAAATCTAACATCTTGAAAGTTTTTTCTCTCCCAAAGAGGATAGGTTTGAGATAGGGTGAATGCTTATCAGCTGATCTTTTTATCATGGTGATGGGACTCTCGACAGAATGTTATCCCAAGTTGTGGAGATGAACTGGTCAAGTGGATACAGAATATTGATAAGGAAGGTAGATTCTTGGAAAATATGCTGACAACACTTCGGTTTTGTGTGATGCAAGCAAGAAGTAGACTACATCTAAAAAGGATCCTAGTTGCAATCGGGGCAGTAACAGATCTTCATAGAAGAACTTATTTTCAAGCAATATTTAATGAAATATTCGAGAGCTAGCAGATAAGTTTGAGCTGCAAGGTTGAACAACTGAAACAAGGTATCTGGAAATACTACTTGGCGCAAAATACAAGACAATAACACATGAAAGAATCCATTGAAAAATGTGAAAAAAGTCTAACCACGTGGAAGAAAACAAAATCTATCTTTTTGAGAAAAATTGTTATTGGTGAATAGTGAGCTTTATAGCATCTCAGCATACCTGATGTCATTAATTCCTATTCCGTCCAAGATAGAAAAGGGTGAATAGAGTAAGGTTAGGATGACGTCAAGTCGTCATGCCCCTTATGCCCAGCGCAACACACATGCTGTTAGACCCCTGACAAAGCTGATCGGCAAGCGGCACGGCAGTGGCGAGGGTTTTGGCATGATGGCCTTGCCATTGGCCTATGTGCGCGGGAAAATCAACATGCAAGACAATGCGGGGGTGTTGTCAATGGCAACAAACTGTTGCTAAGGCAAGTGAGACGGACTACACTTGTATTTGAGGGCTAAGGTGTGACGGACTACACCAAAGCAAGAGTGGGCTGCGTACAAGCAAGGCCAAGACCTTGACGGAACTAGGCGGGCTGGATGGGAGCTTGACAAGGCAAAACGGGAAAGACCTCGGCGCTAAAGTGAGGCAGCTTAGTGCCAAGGCAGTGGCATTGGCAATGTGATGTTGCCATGACTTAGGTGAGCGGGCTGGCACCTAAGTTAATTGTGGGCAAACGACTTGGCAAAGGGAAGGGCATCAAGGCTTGGTGACTTGATGCTAAAATCAGCATTGACAACGGGCAGACTTGATCAAGTAGGGGCGACTTGACAAGAACAATCAACTGTGACAGCAGGCGGCGTGCGGCAAACAAGTTCGTGGCGATGTCAAGGAAATTTATAGCACAACGCAGCTGGATATAATGGCGTTGGAGCTTGGCGCAATGCAGCTGGATATAATGGCATTGGGCCGATCCAAGACTAGACACGAAATTGGGCAGCAGCTGGCCAAGAAAATGCGCACATGTGGTGCACATGATGCAGTTGGCGGTTACAACTGCCTTTGTCCAAGAGTTGCTGATTATAGGCTGAGTCTATGCACGTTTTTTAGGCATGTTAGAGACATGTCCTACACGTTTTGATCATGGGGATCATGTCCTATCAGTTGGGGGATGTCAACTGAACATAGGAAACACTTTTGGATTGACTACACTATATATATGTGTGTTAGCAGCCTTAAAAACGGGCTAAGTACCTAGGGAGGGAAATGGTCTGAAAGATAG